CTCTACCCCCCCTCATTCTCTCTCTCTCTCAAATAAATAAAATCTTTTAAAAATTAAAATAATCAAACAACTAAGAATATGCAACAGAGACCAATATGCAGCAGAAATCACCTGTAGCCTGAGAGGCTTCAAATATTTACTACCCGGCCCCTCACAGAAAGAGCTTGCCTTGTCCTAGCGCTATGCACTAAGGCATTCACAGATGAAAGGACAGACGTCTGGGGTTTGCTTCCCATGACGCAGGGGAGGGGCAGACGTACAGAAGAAGACTGGCCGTGAGCAGACAACTGTGGAAGCTCTCTGACGGGGCTTCACTGTACTGTTTTTTTCTTCGCCAATGTTTGAAGTTTTTCATCAAAAAATGTAAAATAGGCTGAATGAGGAATAAAAGAGATGGCTTATTTGAGATGTCAGTGTGGCAGAGACAGCTAGTTGCCCCATGCTACCTGTTCTTCCTTATTAGAATTTCAGCTGGGCATGCGACCAAATTCTGGTCAATAAAATGTGAGTTCTGTGAGGCCTTTGAGGAAGCATCCTTAAATGGAGAAGGCACACCCTCTTACTCTCTCTTCCTCCTCGTGGCTGGAATGTAGTCATGATGGATGGAGACTGAGCAGTCATTCTGGACCATGAGGTGGAATCCATGTGCTAAGGATGGTAGGAAAGCAAGAGGGGAGAAGACCACATCCCTGACCACTGTATGAAAATGTCATTAGCCTCAGGCTGCCTATCTATGAACTTCTTGTACATGAAGGAGAAATAAAGTAGAAATAAAGTTTTATCTTTTAAAAACCAGTATTCTTTTGGACTTTCTTACAGTCAAACCTAATCCTAACTGATACAGTCAGAAAAATATTTCTTTCAAAATATTCTTGTTGTAAGTGAAAACTGATAAAGGGAAACCTCACTAAAGTGGAGCTGGGAGGCCAGAAAGGGGACCCACACCACTGCCATCAATCCCAGGAAGAACCATCACTGAGAGACCCCAGCAGAGGCCCCTGCCACAGGAGGGAATCATGACTACAGACCTAACAGGGAAGGATGGAGGCTGCTTCTCCGACAAGAAATCCACGACCCCAGCAACTCAGCCAGTGAGGAACCACCCTCGCCCTGAACTCCTGCTTTTCTCCAGCGGACTTCGGTTTAGGACAGCCCCTCCCAACCTCTTCTTCGTTCTCCATAAAACCACGCTCCTCTCCTTTCTTTGTTGGACTTGCCTGTGGTTTTGCCGTAGCTTGCATGTCCCAAATTGCAAGTCTCTGCTATTCCCAGATAAACCCATTTTGCTGGTAAAATAACTGGCTGTTTTATTTTTTAGGTTAACATATACGAAGGGAGTCTGGCATGGTACACAAGCCCAATTTTGGGTGGTAATGGTTAAATGACAGAACTGCGGGTATTCCACATTTTCCCCCAAGGTTGTCTGCATGAGAAGGTTTAAGAAATAAAAGTGTGAGTGTAAATGGTGTGTGTGGTGGGGGGCGGGGGAAGCTGGAGGTCAGGGGAAGAGGCTCTAGGTCTGAGAACCAACATCCCTGGAAGGTCTGCAAAGAGGGCAAAGCGGAGCCCAGGGAGGTGGGTAAGAGACTGTGCAACTGAGGTAAGAAGAGAGGCTGACATTTAGATGGCAAAGGTGGGGACAGCTGGGGTGCTGGCTTCAAAAGGACAGCCCGGGCTACTCGCTGGGGCCTGAGGAGCCTGGCTCCCAACAGCCAGGTGCTCGGGAAAGTCAGGGCCTTCACACCCCTTCCTTGGGGAGTCACCAGCCTCTCTGAACTTCAGGGGCCGTGAGCAGAGCACCTGCCTAGGCCAGATCAGATAGTAACAGGTCTGTCTTGACATGAGATGACTGGAGAAGAGCCACAACCACTGTCAGGAATTGCTCAATGTGAGCCATCCTGGGTACGAACATTTCTATGGTTAACAGTACTTACCCACAGTTTACTGGGCACCTCACACTTACCAGGTACTTTATATATATTATCTTACTTAATCTTTCTTCAGTTCTTCAGAGTAAATATTGTAAAACCTACTTGAAACTCACAGAAGTAACTTGCCCAAGGTTACAGAGCTAACAAGTGACATTTATGCAGGCCTTTAAATAATAAATGGTACTAAACAAAGTAATCCTGTTTTAAAACACTTCTTCAACCTTTCAAAAAAAAGAATTCCATTTACCAACTGAATGAGTTACTTGAAAGACGGTGACTCAGTTTAAAGGAACGTGCCAACATTTCTCCTACAAGTGGGATGACGACATCCTCACAAATCTATTTTACTTCTGCATGGCCCTGTCCTTCCCAGCCAACTGAGGCTCGCACAGCACCAGGACACAGGCTTATAAGGTGTGCTCAGCCTGATGGGGACACCGGGAGAGCAGCTGGAGGCCAGCCGGCGTGGAGGCAGGCTCACGGTTGGCCCCTCACGTGGGAGGCGGCTGAGGGTGACGGGGGGAGCGCAGGGCCTGGGGTCCAGCAGGCCTGGATGCAAGGCGCGACCTTGCCCCTGACAACTGTCTGCCTGAGCCTGTTCCCACACCTGTGAAGGGGCAATTGCGCCCACCTTCAGAGCTGTTATGAGCATGAGGAGGGAAAAAGTGTCAGCTATTGTTACTATGAGGCCCCAACAGCCCAGTGTCTGGACTGATTCCAACTACTAAAAGCTTCCAAGAATAGGCCAACTCCTGCACACCCCTCTGGCTTTGGCCTGTCTCTCAGGGAAGAGACTCAGACCACCCTGAAAAAGGAAGGTCACCCAAACAGCCAAGGAAGACCACGTGCCATTTTTCTTTTACAACCCTCGTCCCAGTTATAATTACAGATTACAAACTCTGTTGTCCCTTTCCCTCTTTCAATTATAAGCGGCATCGGGTCCAGGACGGTACCAGTTTTAATGCCATCACACCATCTGGCACACAGGTGCGTCTCCATAAATGCTTCCTGAGTAAATGAGATGGAACTGAATTCACAGAGCTCATCACCTAGAGAGTCTTCGTTCTGGGTCAAGTATTTTAAAAACAACTGAGGAAAAATTGTTTCCAGACATGTATGGGTTCATAATCTGTTTCTCTCTCTCTCTCTCTCACTGGTCAATTTGAAAACTCAGAGGAATGTTTCTTTCAGACATGTCTTTCAGTGGACACCATGGTGCTTTAATGATTCCATAATGGAAACTGGCTTGGGAATGTGAGAAAGCTCTACACACAGAAACTCCATCTCGTCTGTTTTGGGCATTCTAACTTGTTTCGAACATCTCATTAAAATCTGGCAGAAGGAAACCTGAACAATGTCACCTGCAGAATAACAATTTTCAATAACAACATTTCCAGAAGCCTGGACAGGAAGAGCTAGGGGTCGATGAGCCAGAACTCTACACACTCTGTTGATGAAGTGTGGAGCCAGGTCACGTCTCATTCTGCCCTGCCGACCTCGAAGAGCTGCAGGGAAGATCGAATGGGATAATGCGTATGACTGCACTCCGAAATCCGGAAAGTGACAAAGGTCTGGCATGACAGCCATTCTGGGCTATATGCTTAAGTCTCACCGGTGAAAACAGAGGATATAGGACCGAATAAATTTTGGGGAATGAAGAGAACCTGGAGCCATCAGAGGAGACTTGGTGCCACCCAGCCACGCCTCCCTCTAAATGAACTCCACGAGGCCCTGAGCAGACACGGCAGCTACTGACCTGGCGCAGGAGGCAGGGAGGCACCAAGACTTCCCCAATTGACACAATTCATTCTGGAGCAGTTCATAACGTTAAGCAATGCTTTCTTAGCCTTCCCCCTGTAAGTTTTTACCACGTAGGGGGTCCTTAGTCTACTCTCCAGAACTTCCGGGGGATGGCAATCCAAGGAGACAGCTTTTAGGAATCTGACAGCATGGCTGAGTGGAGAAGGAATTTTTACGTACCTCAGCTACAGTTTTGGACTGAAGGGGGTAGAAAGGAGGATGACACAGCTGTTTTTTTTTTTTTTTAATTCCCCCAAGCCAAGAGATTACTTTCTAAAGCATATACCTAGCACCACAAAATTAGTAAAAAACAGCAGCTAAAGTCTGAGTACTTAGTATGTGCCTGGCTTTGTTCTAAAAGCTTGTATGTAGAAACTAATACTTCCCACAACCCTAGGATATATGGCACTATTATTATACCCATTTTATAGATGAGTTAATTAAGGTACAGAGCCTTTGATTGAGCAAACTGCTCAAGTTCACAGACTAGTAAGTAGTGAACTTGGGATTCAAACCCAGCCAGGCCCCAGACTAGCCCTCTTTCCACTACAAAATACGGCCTCACAAAATAGCAGGGTCTCTACTTCGCCACTGCTCACAGCCCTAATCCTGACTCAAAGGCCCTCACCCACTTCCATTGCTTATATTGCTTATACTCTGCCTTGCTCCTCACCCACTAGGACTTCTTGTCTCTAATCAGAGTCTGTCCCATGGACCCCAATTCCAGACCCTCTATGGCCTTCGCCTCCTACCTTAACTATGACTCACAATTTCCCATCACGTTGTTTCCGACTTCCCTGGCTAGTAAAGTCACAGACTGTGCCAAGGATTCCAAATCCAGACGGTTTCATTTCTTACTCATTTCAATCCCACTTCTCTACCAAGAATCCCAGAAGTTCTTATAACATGAAAAGGTAGAGATTGACTTGCTGAGAATTTTGCTAAGTCAGTGCACATTCCTCCACATTTCGTCTAGCCGGCAAGCACGCACAGCCAGGGCTGTAATATAAAGACTCACTGAAGATTTAATACGAGCTCCATAAAGGCTGATTGCTTCTGGCAGCTTTTTCAGCTATGGAGATGAGCACTCCAAAGGCTTCTACTGCTGTGAGAGCCATTTGTACCAGAGAGAAATAAATGGCTATGGGACAGAGCAGCGCACCCACACCAGAGATGCTGGAAGACATTCATTCTAATGTGTCCAGTTCGCGAACCAGGTTTTGTGTAACAGACGCCCAGCAGGGAGGCTGCCTGGCGCCTGCATCCTACCTTCACTCCGTCCAACACAGCCTTGATGACCCCCTTCACGGTTGTCACCGTCTCTTTATCTTCTGAGTTCACACCTTCTAGCATCACTTGGTCAGACCAACGGATGAGGTTGGCGAGACTTTGGTACACTCGGCTATAGCAGGAGGAGAGGGCTGAGCTAGGGGGAAGAGAAGAGTTTGTAAAGAAAGTTAAACATCTAAAGCATGACCATCACCTGAAGCAACTGTTTAGTACAGAACCAGTTTCTCGGTGATGAGGGCATGTTCCTCAATCTTTCTGTAAGAGCCACACCCCCTTTCTGATAACACATCTCCCCACCCCCCCGAACCTACACCCTTACATTCCACAAACACTGTACAGAGCTTTATATTCTAGTCTTGTTCTAAAAATTTTTTTCATTTCCCAAATAGAACATATAAAAATTCCATCATGATAGTTTTTATACTCCTTCAAACTTCACACCCCCTGCAAGATTCTGGCCTCTGTCAAGGAATGCCCCATCTTCCGCTCCTCCTTGCTGCTAATCATTGGTCAAAGCACCGTACACTTCTTGTTTTCGATCAGACTAACATGGTAAATGTGTCACAAGGAGCCAACAGGTTTGCAGAATTTTAGCAGGCAGGATCCTTTCGCGAAACAGCCTCTAAACACGAGCTCTGACAGATCTATAACTCACTAGAAGTCCTTCTAACACGGGCTCGGCTTCATCATCCTCTGCACTAACTTCATGGAGCAGTGCACTAATGAAGAGCATTTCAAGACGACAGCCGAGAGGAAAGGAGGCCTGTGGCGGGGGAGACATCGACTGCACACCACGATGCCCACACGCGCAGAGTGCAAGGCCTGGAGACTTCTGGATGCCTCAGTGACTGGGGAAGGGAGGCCCAAATGTAGACTTTTTAGATCCCCTACACATTTTTAAGTAACTAGAGATAATTTTCTCTAGGAATTATGGAAAGGATTATTTTTCCATTTTAAATATTATGGATTATAAGAGAAGAAGAGCAAAATTATGGAAAATTTTGGGGATGTCCCTTCCTCCACTCAAAAAAAAGGGGGGGGGGAAAGAATGAGGTAGACATTTAGGAGCCAAAGACAGAATTTTGAGAAAAAAATATAATATTGTAAAATATGATTAAAACAGGTTCTAAAAAGGCGCCTGGGTGGCCCAGTCAGTTAAGCGTCTGCCTTCGGCTCAGGTCATGATCCCAGGGTCCTGGGATCGAGCCCCGCATCGGGCTCCCTGCTCAGTTGGGAGCCTGCTTCTCCCTCTCCCTCTGCCCACCGCCCACCCCCCGCCCCCCGCCCCACCTGGTGCTTACACACTCTCTCAAATAAACAAATAAACAAAATCTTAAAAAAAACAAACAAACCAGGTTCTAAAAACAAACCTATTTAAAACAAAAACCTGAACCAAACAGTGCTCTGGTGAGAAGTTCTTCAAAATCAGGTAAGGAGGAAAAAACTTTTCCAGGACGTCTACAGTTTCCATGTAGCCAGTCATTCCGCTCTGTGCATGTTCCAACAGGAGAAATAGAACAGTCTGAAAGAATGAAAGCCAACTCCTCGAGTCCCATTAGAAACAAGAACAGTTTACCAAAGGGGACACAAGAGAGCCAGGGCTTGGCTGCCTCACCGAGTAACAGGAGCGACAAGTACTTGGTGTTGGACCCACTCTCTTGGGAAGGAGGGTCGAGGGAGGGAGACAAGAACTCAGTCTTCCCTGGGGGCCGGATGGGGAGGTGGTGCCATCCTGCGGGGGTGGGGGTGGGGGAGTGCATTGCTAGCACCTCACCACCCCCCTTCAGGCAGGGCCAGGTGAGGCCTCTGTGAACAAAGACTGCCGCCTTCTGCCCAAAGCGCCCGTGGGGGATTCCACCAAAGTGCCAATCACACTGTTGAATTACTGGCAAGGATTAGCTGAAAAGGAGGCAGGGAGACATTTCTCTGTAATACTTAATTTCTACCTGCACTGAATGGTAACGCTTCCCTGAAAGCATCCGAAGAAGCCGGCAACTGTGGCCACCCTTCACAGTATTACCTTGGAAGCAGAATATTCCTGTATCAGGGGCTAAGACATTAAGAAAGAAAGAAGGGTCCTGGATTGTGACAATGTCCACTGGACCAGTGGCTGGTGTGTTTCTGAAATGCAGTGAAGCCATCAACACTGAAGGCAAGCAGAGATCCTGTTCTCAAACATCTCTGGACATTCCACCGCGCGGGAGAAGCCTCCCCGCACTGCTCACACTCAGCAGCCCAGCTGCTTGTTCTAAGGCCAGCCCTCCACTGTCCCAGCACCCTAGGGGAGGGCGACCAAGAGCACCCCAGCTAGGACCCAACCCACAGAGAAAGCTCCGAGCAGAAGACAGGAAAACACCTTCCCTGCTTATAAACTGCACTGAGAGGGATGAGAGGATGGAAGGAATCGAAGAGGAAACTTCGAGGAGGAGATACCAGGGTGACCAAGAAAAATATCAGCTGCCTTTATAAGAACTTCAGGAGGAAAAGTCCTGGAAGTGGTATTAGCCAAAGGACTACCAGAGGAAAGAGTCATCGCGCCTTATGGCCACATCCAGGTGTTTGCTTCCCTCTAGGAAATTGTTCTAGACATTTTATTGCTAGTGTGTCAACTACAAAATAGCTATAAAACATCCCCATAGACAAAAAATGCCCCCAAACCACTGTGCTATGGCTTGATCCACTCTCGGCTCCCCCCGAGAGGCTCAGCGCCTGAGCCCCGACTCCCCACGGCCCCTCGGCCCATGCCCCAGAGCGGCCACACTCTCCTCCCTTTGGGAGCACCCTGTGCCCTGCCGGCCTAAGGCCGTTCCTTGGCTTTCCTTCTCCCCTGCCCCGACGGCCAATCCAATTCCTACCCTTCCCTCAGGCCCCGCCCCAGCATCTCCTGCTCCGGGAGGTTTAACTGGACCATAGGGCTCTCCTCTAACTCTCCCTCCTTCAAATCCCAAAAGAGCTTCCATTCGGTACCATAAAATTAGCGCCTTATCATCACACGTGGGGAAGTTGATTTTTTCCACTAGATTCTAATTCTTCCATGGTAGGGACCATCTCACAAGTAGAGGTGCAGGAGAACAGTGCATAAAAAGCCATCTACACATCTGACCCTAGCATCCTGTGAGGCACAGTCCCTCAAAGGAGAACAGCGCTGGGCCTTCTATGAGCTGGGCTCAGGGCTAACTACCAGGGAGATGCAGTCCTCCTCTGGGACAGCAGCATGGCCCGGACAAGTGAAGACAGTAGCAGGGCACAGCCATACATACCACTGTTTTATCCTCCGCCACCAACTGGCCCAAAGGGCACAATCTGCAGGGGTCAGCTGAGACTCCAGGGCGGAAGTCCCAGGGCAGAGAGCTTCTTGGAAATAAAGATGCTGTTTGCACTATCTCCCAGAAGAAGAAAACTATGCACTTCGCTGCCAAGTTCTGAAAGCGGTTCATAAAAGCTCAGTCTCACGAGGCTGTATGAACATTAAACCATCTCAAGGAACTGAAAACAGAGATGTGTTTATCCTGAGCAGGTACCAGAAAAGAAACACAAAGCCAGCAGGCAACTGACAGCCTCTCAAAGGAAAAGCGCCTGCTAGGCTCTCACTTAAGATTACATTTAATATTCCTTTCCTTTCTGTACTTAACCATAGATATGGGGGCAAGCTGCTCCCAACCTTTAGGGGGAAAATGCACTCTAGCAATAAAAGCATTCCTCCACAAAAGCTCCCTGGGACGAAGATGGACTCCACCCCACATACCTGGCTTCCAGTGACTGCAGGCGCTGTCTGGGAGATCCTGGCTTGACACAGTTAAATGTCTCATGAATCCATGCTCTAATGGGAATCTCTTCTACCTCTTTTGGCCTAATCAGCTAAGCAGTCAAGGTCTCTACCAGGTTAGATATTAGTAAGATTTAATGCTGCAATAAACCCAAGGAAGGGTGCGAGATATGTGTCCAAATCTTAATCTGATTATTGCCAATGACCTAAGGCAAAGAAACAATCACAGACTTACCCTGTGGCTATATCGCTAGCAAGGGGAGAGATCTTCGTCAGTGTCAAGGCCTCATGAGCAACATCAACCTCAACCTTGGGAGAGCATCAAGTCATAGCTATGGGGCTCCTTTCCCTCCCAACACTCTCCCCTATTTCTAGAAGCCCTGAGTTTTCAGTGCCCCCAAACCAAGATGCTCGTAGGCCTCCCTTGCTCTGTCTGACACAGCCAAGGACTTCAGGGCAACTCACCTGTGTTGAATTCGAGGATCACTCTGCACCAGGGGTAAGATGGCCTCCAGCACCTTGCTGGCTGACCCTGGAAGCATCTCCAGCACCTTCTTATCAATAGCCATTTTGTCCACAATGGTCTTAAAGTAGCGCAAGGCACTAACAACTTCCTTCTCTTTCTCTTCCAGCCAGCTCAGGTTCTGAAAGGAAATGTTAAGCATAAGGTGGGAGGAGAGAGATTAACGGGAGCTTTTTTGAAAAAAATAAAGTACGATTTCCTATAGACTAGCTTGAGACTGATGCAAACCGAAAAAGCTTCTTGCTGCAGAAGCCAAGCCAAATTACTTTCTAAGGATTGCAAACAGGATACAGAGGTTAGGCTTGAAGGAAGGAGAAGGGAGCTTGGACCAAGGAAGTTCACTGAGATACTCCTGAATTCCCTTCCTCGTACAGACTGATGTGGCCTGAGGTCTTGAAAATTGCTTCTCTCTACCACACTGAGATGGCACCGCTAATCTCATGAAGCCTAGGGAGGACTAATTTGCTGATGGCCGTAGGAAGCTTAGAGAACCAACAGTTAGGTCTCATCATGGTGCATATCTATCCAGTAAATCAAATCAAGAGATCCCAGGCCTTTCAAAGATCTGAGGGACTGTGTAAGACAGGCAGAGGCATTTGTGTTCAAAACCCATTTCTCCAGGACCCCTCACTAGATCCCCACCTTCAACCCAAAGATGCAGCCCCCTCTCAGTGAAATGACATGGCTCTCTCAAAGGGTCTGGAAACCCCAGGGTTAGAAGGGGCGGATGCTCAGGGGTGAAAAGGCAAAGAAGCTGGAGCAGGTGGTAATGGTTCAATCACTACTCGTGCGGCAAATGCGAACAGCATTCACAGTCCTTCTGCGCCCGAAGAAAGCCCAGCTGGGAGGAAAATAACACACAGAGCCCTACACTTACCAGCATTCAAATTCTCATGCCCAAATCTTTTCTCTGTGACTACAGGGTATCTCGAATCCACAGTCAGTGGGCACATACACCCCTCGGTTCCTTTCCCCAACCTCTCTCTCTATTGGCCCTAACGTCAGCGACCCGGGTCCCAGCTGGCTGGCAGGGAAGGGAGATCAAGGACGACCTATAAAATGGATACCCTACCCAAGTGAAACTGATTACATGTCCAGTGCAAATTAAGATCCCTGTATATGAGGAAAACTGCCCCCTGTGGGCTCTTTGGGGTCCAGCGAATACATAAATAGAAGTGACCAAGGGCAAGAAGAACATTCTAGAAAAAGTTGATTTAAACAATAATCTATAAATAGATAAATAAATGGTATGTAATAAATAAGAAGTGATTACGATTCTGAACACTAGCTCTTCTTAAACGATGGGGAAATGTCAGTTTAAATTTATGTAAATTGCCATGTTTAATGCATGGGAATATCAAAAGACAAATACAGAAATGGGATCAAGAAGTAAATAGCTTCTTTGGTCAGGCAACTTCCGAAGGCCCGATTCACTTTCTCTCAATGGGATACTTCCCCAAAGGTGGTCTATAGACCCCAAAGATGAGGTTCTCTAAGTGGGGGGGGAGCACCTCTTCCCCACCCCCATCACTGGCCAAATACCTTTCCTCTGTTTTTTACGAACAGACACATTTATTTACTTTTTCCAAGAAGCCAAGCTCTTGTTTCCCATCTCATGGACAACAGCTTTCTGCTCTGCCATCACCCACCGGGGCCAGGAAGAACGTGACTATGAAGGAATCATACCCAGACATCAATGTGACTGAAACCCCAGCTGGCCAGAGGACCCTGACCGCAGCCCTGCCATCTCAGCACATCAGGATGTGTCTGGAGCCAGGGATGATGAAAGATGGGGAAGAAGCAGGAAACATTATAAGAAAATGTGTCATCAGGTTTGCTAGGGAGACGGGGGCTGACCTGGAGATGGGGGAAACCCAAAAGGGGCAGGAAGGCACTTCTGAGCACAAAGAAACTTCCTGTCATTTGCAGAGAGATCAAATGAGCCACTGAAGAGCCAGGCTGCCCTGGGCCCCTACTAAAGGAGCCGACAACTTAGCAGCATCAGATTTCATCCATTAACCCTCCGGCAAACCACACTCCCAGAATCAATTGTCCGTTCACAGTCCCTCTGCTCCCGAACAGTTTTGGCCGTTCAACTCTGGCGTCTTGCAAGTACAGCCAGCAGTCGAAGAGTTTACAGAGAGACACCTAGATGGGAGCACGTGCTAGAACTGGGAGCCCAAAGCCTTAGCTCTGCTGAAGTTGCCCGGGTGTACTGGGGCATCCCCTCCCGCCGTCCACAAAACTGGAAACTACCTGAGGGTCGTGGTGCTGGGGCAGGGCCTAGACCTGAAGCCACTGCGGGGCTCGGGGACCACTGGCTTCAGGATCCTCATCTGCAAAACGGGGAGGCTAATGCCTAACCTGGGTAATTGAAAGGGCCTGATGTGGGGAAGTGAATGAGAAAGCACATGGAAGTAGTTCATAAAATAAAACCAGATTTTGATGGAGAAAACTTGGGCCAGAGCCCAAACTCTGTATATGAGGAATAATAAAAGCTTTTGCACGCAGTTATGGTGAGGAGTAAATAGGACAGCATGTGCAATCACCTAGGACAGGGCCTGGGCAAAGAGAGACCTTCAGGAAGCTGCAGATCAATTTGAATCTGTGATCTACTGAGCTGCAGTTTCCCCTGTATTTAAATAGGGAATGCTGGGGCACCTGGCTGGCCCGAGCAGTAGAGCACATGACTCGTGATCTCAGGGTCATGAGTTCAAGCCCCACACTGGAGGTGGAACCTACTTAAATTTAAAAAAATAAATAAATAAACAGGGAATGCCATGCATATAAACTGGGATTAAAATGAGAACATATATGGAAATATTCTCTAAGAGGTAAGAGAGCTAATAAGTAATCAATAATGATGAGAGCAAATGACAGTTGTATTTTCAGATTTCTCCGACAGCATCTTCTAAGTTCACACGTGTTGGCAGATTCCCCAAGATTTCCAGTTTTGCCTGTGGGCTTCTACTAAACAGGAGGTTTGTACTCACATGGTCTCGGGCAGCTCACTTGGGGCAGAGCAGAGTAATTCAACCCTTCTTAAAGGGTGACAACCAACAACAGGAGTAACATTCTTCCCTGGGTAAAAATCATACCTACAGTCCCCTGCTACAGCACGGGTTCTCAGCTGTGGCTCTGCCATCCTGGGGTGGATAATTCTCGCTGCAGGGAGGGCTGTCCTGTGTAGGATGTTCACCAGCATCCCCGGCTTCTACCCACCAGATCCAGTAGCACCTGCTTCACCTTCCTAGTGGTGACAACCAAAAATGTCTCCAGACATTGCCAATGTCCCCTGGAATTTGCGGGAACCCACACTGAGTGAAGGACACTTTCGCACTGAATGTCCCCCCACGACCTCTCTTGGGAGTGATGAAGAAAGGGGGGAAAAGCTCCAAGAATTGAGTGGCTGAGACAGTCTCTTACCAGAGCTAACTAGCAGAACACGGTTGTTCTAAGTTGCTTTACTCTGGGCTGCCTGCGCTACGCTACACGGCCACGGACACTCTGCTTGGGGTTTTTGTTTTGTTTTTTTAACCAAACTCAGCTCCAAGAGATTGTTAAACAGACTGAACCAGAAAGTAACTATGGTGCACACCAAATCTTCTACTTTCCTACTCTGCAGTCTGGGATTTCGTCAATCTGGCAAACACTGAACATTTTTAGGCTTCTTCTTCAGCCTCTTTTTGCTAAGAGATGAGGCAGGCCTGGTAAGTACTTGGATGGGAGGGAAAAGGGTTATTCAACAAAAGACTCTTGGACTTCAGACTTTAATGTTCTCCACTTTTAACTAGAATTTTAGGATATTCTGCTGGTCAAAATAAAAACAAAACCAGAAGTACACTACAAAATTCAAGAATTCTGCGCTTATGTAACGGGGCAGTGTTTGCCGGTGGCGGTCAATTGATGGCCGTGACAAGACCATGCTGCGGACAATCCCTGGAGCATTAGGATGTATCTCTCTACAGGCTTCTTTTTATTTTACATTGCTAAGGTTAATTTTGTTTTTCTGTTTCGTTGTGTGAGAGTTACCACTTGGATTTGTGGGACATTCCAACATAAATTCTGGCTTTCATAAAGAGGAAACATAGTGTCCCGAGGGTATTGACTTGGGTGTCAGACAGCCTGAGCTCAAGTCAGCTTCACTGCCTCTTCCTGCGTGATGGTGGCTAATGCTTCCTACCTCTACAGCCTCAGTTTCCGCTTCTGCAAAATAAGTTTCCACCTCCCAGGGCTGTTACGAGTGTTCAGTAAGAGAGTAAGTAAGCGCAAGGCACTGAGCACGCACGAGGCTAAGGAAAGTCTGGATAAATGTTAGCAGCACAAAAGGTGTCCCTGGTTCTGAGTACTTGGTTCTGTGCGCTCTCACCACACTGAGTACTGCTAGATGTCTAACACAGCACCTTTCACTGCAGACGCTCCTCCCTGTCCTAACTATTCAGATCGCCCGAGCAACTCAAGGAATGAAGAGCTGGTCTTGAGAGATGAGACTCACCCACTTCCCCCAGAACCCACTCGACCCAAGCGGCACACCCAAACCAACCCCAGAAAGGACCCCCAAGCTTCCGTCATGGAGTGCTGCGCTCTCTCCAAAGACCACAGAGGCTTGGATAAACTCTTAATTTTACCCAAGGCCCCTTGGACTGTTTCCTGAACAGTGAAACCCACAGTCGCCACCCAACTGAACACAAGGATATTGTAATAGGTTTTTCTTTCCATCCCCAAAACCATGGCCCAGGATTCTGCAGTAGAAGGCAAGGCAAACCCAATTGTTCTTAGCATCACACTGACCTTCTGCCTCTGAGACCTGGAAGCCACAGCACTGGTGGACATAAACTCTACTGTCTGCTGCTCCAGATCCAAGGGGAGAGGGCAGCCCTCTGGTAGAAATCTGTCTGTTGCCTCCTGGAAGAGAGGAAACCTGGATTCCTACAGAGCTTGGAATGGCCGTTCGAGGCTGAAGGGAGGGGCTGGTGAATATCTGCTGCTGTTTCAACATATCTGGTTTGACTGGCCCTGCTGAGGTTACTCGTGCTTGAGGACATCCTTGGCCGGGTTTCAAGGATTTGGCATGTCTCAGAGCATGGGCCCTAAAGCCAAATGAAGGATGTTCTGGACGTCACAAACCTCCCTCTACGTGTGTGCATGCCAGGGCAACACGGGGCTGTCTGGGGCAGGGAGGCAGCATGGTGGGGTATAAACATGGTGCACTGAGCTGTTTCACATGCCCAGAGGATGACACATCTGGAAAAGGAGAACTGTTCTAGCCGAATGAACTCGACTCTGATTAACAGGAGAAACACTCACCATCCTAAAGGCTCATATTTCACAAGGACGCTGAAGGCCCCTGCCTGGAAGCATGGAATGCTATGGAGTAGGTGTTCTGCACTGAAAGCTGAAACCCCAGGGAATGAACTTAAAAACAGCACAAACTCATACTGCTTGAAGTAGGTGAAGGCCAGGAGGAACACCTACAGAGAGTCGGCTTACTTTGCTCACAGGCTTCTCTGGATTTTTCACAGACACCTCAGCTGGTTTTCCCTTCTTTGACGGCGTTCTCTTGATTTTGGGCGAGTGGAATTTGTCCATCAGCTTCATGGTGAAGGAGGAGAGATGAGAACGCTGAGAGTCTGCAAACAAGGAGGGTACTAATGGTTAGAAGCAGGGTAGGAAGGAGCCGTGCTCCGCTGACCTTTTGTGAAAATGAGTATCATCCGTAAACAAATCGTCTTCCCTGGCTGTTTAGTTACAAAGGAAAGGAAAGACGGATCTATTGAAACACTTCTGCTTACATGTTTTAATTCCTGCAATTTCCATCTAAATTAGGTTGTTCAGAATTGTGGAAGTCAAAGGCAGTCAAAATGGCTATGGAAAAAGAATTTGCAAATATTTCCAGTCCTCTGTATAGAGTCTGTATGATGAGCTAACTGAAGTCTAAGGGAACTCGCTAAGAAGCAAGAACATCAAAGCAGAATCACAGAAGTGTAGGACGTATGAACTGGAAAGGAAGGCCCTTTTGAATCAACCTCCTCATTTTTGTTCATTTAGGGGACAGCAACAAGCATCATGGGCAAGGCCTCAGAGTTGGCACTGGAGACTGAAATAGCACTAAGGTGTTCAAAATCCTCTGGAACATAGTGCAAGACTGGATGGTTTCTCTCCAAGATCAGGAACAAGCCCAGCGTGTCCGATCTCACCATTCCTATTCAATACTAAACTCCAATACCCTAACAAAAGTCGTCTGGCCTGGGAAGGAAGACATAAAACTCTATTTGTAGATGAACTCGTATATGGAAAATCCCAAGCAATTCACTAAAAAACTATTAGCACTAATAAACCAATTCAGTAAAGTCACAGGATACAAGATCAATATACAAAACTCTGTTGGATTTCTATACAGTAGAAATGAACGTTCCAAAATGAAATTTTAACAAGCTTTCATTAAGGGCACCTGGGTGGCTCAGTTGGTTAAGTGTCCAACCCTTGATTTTGGCTCTGGTCATGATCTCAGGGTCGTGAGACAGAGCTCTGTGTAGGGCTTGGTGCTCAGCACAGAGTCTGCTTGGGATTCTCTTTCTCCCTCTCTCTCTAAAATAAGTAAGATCTTAAAACAACAACAACAACAAAAAACTTCCATTTACACTACAGGGAACTGATGGTGGTTGCCAGAGGGAAAGGGGATGAGAAGATGGGCAAAATGGGGGAGAGGGAGTGAGTGGGAGACATAGGCTTCCAGTTATGGAATGAATAAGCCATTGGAATTAAGCACAGCATAGGGAATACAGTCAATGATACTGTAATAGCACTGTATGGTGACAGATGGAAGCTACACTGGTGGTGAGCACAGCCTAACACTTACTATGTTGTACACCTGAAACTAGTAAAACATTGCATATCAACTACACTTCAATAAAAACAAAACAAAAACAAACAAAAAGCTTCGACTGACAATATCATCAAAAAGAATAAAATAATTAGGCATAAATTTAACACAAAAAGTACAAGAGATATACTAAAAACTACAAAGCATTGTTGAAAGAAATTGAGACAATCTAAATAAATGCAAAGGCATACCATGTTCATGAATCAAGATTAATAGTATTAAAATGTCAATAGTCCCCAAACTGATCTACAGATTCAATGTAATCCCTATCAGAATCCCAGCTGGCTTTTTTGCAGAAATTGATAATCTAATCCTAAAATAAGCATGGAAATATAAGGGACACAGAATAGCCAAAACAATGTGGAAAATAAGAATAAAATTAGAAGACTCATGCTTCCTGACTTTAAAACTTACTATTAAGGGGCGCCTGGGTGGCTCAGTTGGTTAAGCGACTGCCTTCGGCTCAGGTCATGATCCTGGAGTCCCGGGATCGGGCTCCTTGTTCAGTGGGGAGCCTGCTTCTCCCTCTACCCCCCCCATGCTCTCTCTCTCTCTCTCTCTCCTTCTCTCTCTCAAATAAATAAAATCTTAAAAAAACAAAAAACAAACAAAAAAACCCTTACTGTTAAGAAGTTACAGTAGTCAAGACAGCATGGTACTGGCATAAGGATAGGCATACAGAACAATGGAATGGAATTGAGAGTCCAGAATAAATTGGCCATGTGTCTATGGCCAATTTTTTTTTTTTTGAAGATTTTATTTATTTATTTGTCAGAGAGATCACAAGCAGGGGGAGCAGCAGGCAGAGCAGGCAGCGGGAGAAGCAGGTTCCCCACTGAGCAAGGAGCCCAACGCAGGACTCGATCCCAGGACCCTGGGATCATGACCTGAGCCAAAGGCAGACACCTAACCAACTGAGTCACCCAGGCGTCCCTGGCCAATCAACTCTTAACAAGGATATCAGGCCATTCAATGGAGGAATGAATTTCTTTTCAACAGATAATGCTGGCATTACTGGATATTTCACATACAAAAGAACGAGAGTGAACCTGGGCCCTTACCTCACACCATATACAAAAATTAATTCAAAATGGATCAAAGACCTGAATGTAAGAGTTAAAACTATAAACTTTTAGAACAAAACATAGGGATAAAATTTTTGTGACTTTGGTTTGGTAATGGTTTCTTAGAATGCCAAAAGCACAAGTGACAACGGAAAAATCAGATGAATTGAACTTCATCAAAATGTAAAACTTTAAACTAGATTTACTGTGGTCATCATTTTGCAATACCTACAAATATCAAATCGTTAAGTTGTACACATCTGAAACTAACATGATATTATATATCAATTAAAATGTCTGTGCTGCAAATGATACCACCAAGAAAATGAAAAGACAAACTACAGATGGGAGAAAATATTTGCAAGTCGTACACCTGATAAGGATCTGCATACAGAAAACATAAGCAACTCTTATAATTCAACAACAAAAGACGATCCAATTAAAAATGACCAAGGGATTTCAATAAGCATTTCTCCAAATAAGATACACAATGAGCTATAAACATATGAAAAGATGCTCAACATCATTAGTCATCAGGGAAATGCCAAAACCAACATAAGTTATTACTTCAAACCCACTATTTATAATAAAAAAGACACATAATAACCAAGTGTTGCTGATGGTTGGGGAACTGGAACCCTCCTACACTGCTGCTAAAATGTAAAATAGTGCAGCGGCTGTGGAAAATATCTGGCAGTTCCTCACAAGGTCAAACAGTTACCGGACGACCCAGCAATTCTATTCCTAGGCATATACCCAAGAGAAATGAAAACATACATCCATATGATTTGTACACAAACGTTCACAGCAGCATTATTCATAAGAATCAATAGGTGGAAATAACTCAAATGTCCAGGAACAAATAAATAAAATGTGGCATACCCATACAACAGAATATTGCCTGACAATAAAAAGAAATGAAATCCCGACACCTGCTACAACATGGATGAATCTTGATAAAATTATGCTAAGTGAAAGAAGCCAGTCACAAAGACCACTTATTGTATCTTCCATTTATTGGAAATGTCCAGGATAGGCAAATTTATAGGGACAGAAAGTAGATTAGTGGCTAAGAAAGAGGGAATGGGAGAGGGAAGGAGAGGGGTTGCTAATGAGTATGAGGTTTCTTTTGATGGGGGGACATTAATGTTCTAAAATTAGAATCTGGTGATGGATGCACCGAAACCCAGTGATTTACTACACAAACACATGCACACACTGAATTCTACACTTTAAATGAGTCAAGTGTGTGTGTGTGTATCAATGAAGCTGTTTTTTAAAAAAAAGCAAAAGCCCACTGAGGAGTTACTTCCTCTCACCATTTACCTCAGTGCTTTCCAGTGTCTGAAACTATCTTATTAAGTGATTTATTTATGTGCAAACTCACCGAGGACCACACCTGTCCTGTTCATGCCTGCACCGTCCCATGCTCACATGGTACCTGGCCCATAGAAGATGCTCAGTAAACAGTCACTCAACAGATGAACAATCAACCAATCAGGAAATACCCCACAAATCAGACTGCTTCTTTTGATACTATCTGAAATTCACAGAAAATACTTGAAAGTGGTTGACAATCAGGGAACAGAACATGATCCCATGCAATAGAAAAATAAATACTTTGTAGTTTTAAAACTATAAGTCACCCCCTTTCAATTTTTCCAGCTATTTACTACTAAAACACCCTTCCAAATAGATGACATAGCACCCTGTGCTACAGGCCTGTCACATGTCTATTATTATCCCATGTGACTTCACAGGGACAGGGTTCAATTCCTTTGTCAAAGACCTTCCAGGTGGCAGGCAGGATCAGATAAACTATCTGATCTTTGCAAACTACCTAGAAGCCCACTGCACTCCAGACCAAAGAGAAAAGTCAGAGCCTGACCTTCGTTCACATGCAGAGTCAAACCAAACACGGTCTTGCAGGTGCCTGCCTGCCAGCAGGAAGCCCCTCTTGGACCCCAAAGGTGTACAGAAATCCACAGGAAGCTGGTGCACCTGTCTCCTCACACAGAACAGGGTAAGGAGGCGCTCTCAGCACCTGCCCTTACATGCCACGGTCACCCCTGGGATTCAGAGCAGGTAAGCATGGTGCAGTTTCTCCATCCTCCCTCTGCCTTGCCTCTTCTTCTCCACCCAAGCAGGGTGGGTCCCCTATAGAGTTTATACTTCCTTCTTTATACTTCAAAATGATGTGACCGGTCTAATCATACACACGGTGGTTAAAAGGGTGAGCTCTGTAGTCAGACTGTTTGGGTTAAAATACTTCAAAGTCACCTCTCCAAGTCGTTGAGAAAGAAACAAGGTTTCTTTGTCTGGAAAACGGGGCTGATGACATTGTTCCTGAGATGGCTGATGTGATGTATAATAAATGAGGCGCTGCCTGTGGATAACGCAATGAGGTTCTTAGCCAAGTGCCGGGCACATGGTGCCTCCATACTGGGAGCTGACCAAACCAGACGAGTTGGATGGGTAGCAAGGTTGGTCAGACTCTGAATTCTCATCTCCCATCTGCTTACAGATCTGAATCAGGCTATTGCGCAGCACTGAACTTTTTTTAAGTTATGACCCTAAGTAACTGAGGGCCTTACAAATACCATCCTCCTCTTCCTCTAACACAGACCAGAAGTCTTGGTCTGCTTCCCTCTCTGGTTGCATGTCTCCTCTGCGTTAGCCCGTACTGCCGCCTGCCTCAGTGTCCCTACAATCATGGCACTGACCAGGCAGGTTCCCGAGCCAGATGGGATGTTAGAGTAATGTACTAATCCGCGTGACTTCCACCAGAGCAACTAAGACTGAAAGCAGGGCCAGAAAAGCAGACACAAATGGGGAACTCTAGGCAGGATGCACGGTTTCTCTGGTGGTCACAGACCTCCAGAGACCTGGGCTGGGCGAGCCAACTTCCACTTTTGCCCGTCTGCAACTCTGAGCTGCTGTCCGGACAGGCCAGGTTCACAGCCCTGCCATCACGACCAGGGCAGAACTGGGGTATGCAAGCAAGGCACGGTGGGCCCCCCAAAAACCTCTCAGGTTCCTGCACTCACAGAGCCAGCCCTGATCATGACTCAAGGGCCAACCAAGTAAGGGCACCTCACCTGAGAGCAAACTGAAGGAAGGAAGTATATTACAGCACTCTCTCTACCTCAGTCTGAAAGTCTAGTCCGCTTGGGGGCACAGCTGGGAATCCCTATCATCATTTAAAGAAAGAACTGCATCCAGCAGTAAATCTCTCTCCTGGGAGTATTTAATAGCCTAAAAACAGCTACCTTTAGCACACAAGGTATTAAATCAAGTGGAGAAAGCAGGTTCTTTGTAATGGTAAGGAACCTCCTCAACTCTGGAAATAGAAGACAGCACCAACTAGGACAGATTTTGACTTGGAGGCTGCTTGTCATCTTTTCCTTGAAACACCTGGTTGACAACGCAGACTTCAGGTGACTTGCAAGGTCACTCAAACCATGCATCTGAGTGCCAGTAAGTACTACAGCGACCGGTGACAGCAGGGCGGAAGGACGCAACAGGTGGCATCGCTGTCAGGGTAAGTCTCACCAACGGCACCAGACACGCACGTGCGCGCACACACTTCCTGCCCTCTTCTGGAGTCCCTCAAGTGTATCAATCATCTAGAGTAGAGGCCAATGCCAAAGAGATGCTCCCTCCCTACTGGAGTCTCAGGCAGCTTTATCAACCACTCTCTTATTATTCCTGACTTTTCACTTAGAAAGTTGTACTTCAGATTTTGTGTATGTGTGTTTTTAGATATACTGAAATTAAAACAGAATTTTGAAAAATTCCATACACACACACACACGACTTAGAATTAAACGCATGCATCCACCAACCTAGCCTATCAAATAGAACTTTGAGCAATGATGGAAATGCTCTGTATCTGCACCATCCCACATGACAGCACTTGTGTCTATGAGTACTTGAATTGTGGCTGGTGGCTGCCATATCAGACAACAAAGCTCTAGAAGAAGGGGCGCCTGGGTGGCTCAGTCGTTAAGCGTCTGCCTTCGGCTCAGGTCATGATCTCAGGGTCCTGGGATCGAGCCCCGCATCCGGCTCCCCGCTCCGTGGGAAGCCTGCTTCTCCCTCTCCCGCTCCCCCCGCCTTTATTTTTTTAAGATTTTATTTATTTATTTGAGAGAAAGAGAATGAGAGATAGAGAGCACGAGAGGGAAGAGGGTCAGAGGGAGAAGCAGACTCCCTGCCGAGCAGGGAGCCCGATGTGGGACTCGATCCCGGGACTCCAGGATCATGACCTGAGCCGAAAGCAGTCACTTAACCAACTGAGCCACCCAGGCGCCCCCGCTCCCCCTTCTTGTGTTCCCTCCCTCGCTGTGTCTGTCTCTCTGTCAAATAAATAAATAAATAAAATCTTTAAAAAAAAAAAAAAGCTCTAGAAGCAGAAAGTTATCAAATCCACCGATGCCACCACATGCCCTTTCGTGATCATAACTCTCTTCCCAACAACCGGTAACTGTGATTATGATTTTTTTTAAAAGATCTATTTATTCACTTTAGAGGGAAAGAGAGAGTCCCAAGCAGACTCCGCCACAAGCACGGAGCCCAACGCGGGGCTCAATCCCACGACCCTGAGATCATGACCTGAGCTGAAACCAAGAGCTGGCTGCTCAACCAACCGAGCCACCCAGGCGCAACTGCCCCCGCCCCATGATTCTGGTTTTTGTACTTATCATCCCTTTTTTTTGACAGTTTATAAGTATAATTTACAGCTTTATGAACTTTACATAAATGGAAATATATTGTAAATATTCTCATGTTCTTGCTTTTTCACTCAGTGGTAGGTCTGACATTTAACCATGCTGAAGCATATATAAGTGCTTTCACTTTCAGTGGATACTGGGCTGTTTGCAGCTTCCATAAACAACACTGCTATGAACATTCTCATACATGTCTCCTGGAACACAGGGCAAGAGCTTGCCGTGAACAAAACTGCTTACTGATAGAGTATATACTATATTTAATTTTGTGGATTTTGCCAAATGATTTTCCAAAATGGCTGTGCCACTTTGCAATTCCACTATCAAGGTCCCAGTTGCTCCATATCCCCACCAACAGCTGGGATTGCCAGACTGGTCCACTTTCTTTATGGCAATACCTCACCAAAGGAAATAAAAACCCTCCTTCACATAAGAAGGAAATCATATAAGAAGGAACTGCCATAAGCTGCTATTTTATCGTAATTTATCAAACCTGTGAGAGCAACATCAAAGGTCATTGACAGAACTTAAGAAAACAAAGCCTCAGGCCACTGCTCAGGGTGGCATTTACACCATGGAAGGTCAGGAACTTCCAGTGACTAACCTGCTAGTCATTTCTTCCAGAGGAAGGGTGGCTTACGTAGCCTCATGACTTCTGTATAAACTGCCACGGTGTTACTAAGGGCAGGCACTTTCTTGGGCAACCACGGCAGGACACAGACCCAGCTGTCAGATGACTGTCAGAGGAAGGACAGGCTGGAAGAGAGGCACGTAGCCTGCTCACAGAATCAAATCTTAACAGAACCCCCAAACCCCAAAAGTCACACCAATTTTTTTCCTGAGAAGTTTGCCGGGGACCAATATTTCATTCTTAGATTTTCAACTTGACCCTCAGTCAAGCCTAACAACGGTCTCTGCCCGGGCTGACAAATGTACGTATCAACTGGCCTTTCAAATGTCACTTGTAGCAGCAGCTGGGATCCCAACTTAGCAGTGGTTTCTGTCAGGGCTTAATTTCGCTCTGGATAAGGGCAGTCTCTAAATATCAGCCACACAAGGAACCACAATGTCAGGGTCATGGTGGATAACACTTTGAGGCAGTTCCAGAATTATTGCAGCCAACGTTGAGAAACACCGTGGCTGTCAATTTCTTGTTACCCACAGTGTACAGGGTACAGAACTGTGCCACAACCGGGAAGGACCTCCATTCGTCCACTTACGTGAGTTCCATGTGAAGCTACCTACCAATCCACAATCCCCCATTTTCCAAATGTGTAAAAAGGACAACTATAGCAGAGAAGTGGCTTGAGGACATTAGGAAGAACTTTTTAAAGATTTTTTTTTTTTTAAAGTAATCTCTACACCCAACGTGGGGCTCGAACTCACAACCCGGAGATCAAAAGATGTGTATTCTATGGACTGAGCCAGCCAGGTGCCCCAGGAAGAACTTTTTTAAAGCTAGGATTTCAGATTGTTACTTATTTAAAATGTTACAGACTAACGTAAAGATAAAGACAAGAGTTCAGGCTGAGCGGGCTTTGGAGTCAGGCAGTCTCTGTTCTAACCCAAGCTCAGGCACAGACACGGGCAAACTCTGAGCTGCAGGTTCCTCACCTTTAGAAAAGCATAACCTTGGGATTAAACATGATCCTCTGTGTCAAGCATTTAGCCAAGGACGTGAT